ATGCTACTATAATCTCAACTGATAAAACGTATGCTATCAAAGTCAGACTTAGTAATTTTGCGTCTGTATGACACAGAAACATAGAGGCTATCGTAGAATACGTCTAATGTAGAATGATGACGTTTTGAGACAAAAGTTCCTTGTTGAATTTTTGGTCCTCTGCGAGTTCGAATTCAAATAAGGCACGTGCAATACGGGTATTTCTGAAGGGTTTGCTAGTTTAGTTGTATCATTAGGATAAATAGCCATGCTTCATGGGAAAATTTGTTGTAAGCAACAATCAGAGGTAAAAGGCTAAGTAATTGAAATTGCTGAAGTATTAATCACATTATTCCAATCTTGAGGTTAGAGAAGACACGCATTTCTGGAAAGAAATGCTACGTAATGGAGATGCTGGAAAACTTATTTTTAGAGCCAGTTAAATAAGTCAATACATAGTAAGAGTAACCATTTTTTTTAAGACTAAGAGTCTATTCTACTTATTTTAATAAAATATTGAAGAAGTGGAACTTATTATTATTAGTATCGGTATATACTTATTTTACCTACTTACGTACCAGAATTAATTTTCATCTATATTTTTCGAAAACTAGGCAACAATTATTCTTTTTTAAAACTAATCTACTTTGTGAGATTTCTTCTCATTGATTCTCTTCTCATAGTATTTCTTTTATTGTTATTTAAACCAGTTTCTGGAAAGGAATCACTATATTTTATTATTTTACTTTTTGTGATTCTATTTTATTATCTAAGCAAACTGTATTTATTTCTATTTATTTTATACGCCAAAAAATCTTCTCTAGAAAACAGAACTGTGTTTTATTTGTACTCCAAAAGACACTCTACGAAAAAGAACACTGTTTGAAATTTATATTGAAACGTGCGATTGTGTAAGCAAGTTACTCCTTTAATGTAGGAACGTTATACACACCTAAATAAAATTATTTATTAACTTTAAGAACCTCTTTTTTTTTCTCTACTTCTTCATATTTTTCTTCTTTTTTTTTATTTTTTTCTTCTACTTATTTAGCCATAACCAACTGGATTTGATCTACGAGACTGCTGAAGGCACGCACGCAGTGGAAGCGCTTGGAGAGATATACTCCGTTTATTAACTTTAAGACCCTCTTTCTTCTTTATCTTCTTCTTCCTCTTTTTTTTTTCTTTTTTTCTTCTTCTTATTTAGCCATAACTAACCGGATTTGATCTACGAGACTGATGAAGGTGCACACGCAGTGGAAGCGCCTGAAGAGACATACTCCGTTTATTAACTTTAAGAGCCTCTGTCTTCTTCTTCTACTTCTTCTTTTTCTTCTTCTTCTTCTTCTTCTTTTAAATGTTTATTTCTATTTATGTAGCTATAACTAACCGGATTTGATCTACGAGACTAGTGAAGACAGGCACGCAATGTAAACGCCTGGAGAGACATAGTCTATTTATTAACTTTAACAGCCTCTTTCTTCTTTTTCTTCTTCTTCGTCTTCTTTCTCTTTTTTTCTTTTTCTTCTTTTTCTTTTTCTTCTTTTTATTCTTATTTATTTTTTCTCTTCTGCAGGCGCGTACGCAGTGGAAGCGCTTGGAAAAATATACTCCGTTAGGTCGAATTTCGGTAACTATTTAAGTCTACTACACTCTAATTACTCTGTTTCTTCTCTTCTCATATTACTTGATTGGAAACTCCCTTGTTCAGCTTGGTCTGACCTCACCATTAACAGTTATATCAAAAAAAGTGTTCTTAAAGTAACTAATTAATTCTTTTATTTATTATTATTTAAAAGTTTTTATAGATTAATAATAAAGTTTTTTAAAAATATTATACTGAATGATAATCTTATTCTTTTCTAAATATTTTATTTTTAGAAAATCTCAAAATATCTAAAACTCTAAAATATCTTTAAAACTAAATTAAATATTTCAGGTTACATTACTTGTCCCATTTCAATTACTACCAACCAACACCTGTTGTGCAGCCACACCAACTTGCAACATGTTGCACCTTCGCCAACTTACACGAATTTGCATTTTATTAGACGTCGTTCGTGGTATTGTCTATGCTCGTCCATCAAAATGGAATGCTCTCATTGATATACACCAGAGACTGACTAGGATGTTAGCACTGAGATTTTGCATAATCAATGCAAATCCCTAATATAAACATTTTAATTGAAAATATGCGCATTTACCCGCTACTCTATCGTTCCACCATTGACGCAACACTGCACGGAATTCATTTCGTTTAAGTTTGCCATTTTAGTTCCATTGTTGAGCAATTTCGTTTGAAGAAGCTTTTGTTCTTCCTGCAGTAAGCGGACATATCTAAGCACATACCAGCTACATACGTACGAGCACAGGACATGCAAACAATCTTGTACGTTATTAGTCCTTTAGTCCTTTGGTTGAGTGACACTCAAGTATAACCAACAATTTTATTTAAGGACAATTCACTTTTTTGTTTACCGGAAATACTTGTATGCTTGTCTGCTTGGGTGCCCCCAAGAATGTTGCAACCGGAAATGCTACTCGAATCAAGTGGAAAATTCTCTACAAATGCGTTATAATTCGTTACTAAATTAAAATAAAGTACTTTAAGTAAATAAATTCATATAATGGAATTAAAATAAACATTTTATATTAAAATTTATATTAGATATTGAAGCTTTTATTTATTGCATGTGAGAAATTATCAGAATGAAAATGATTTTAAATAATAAATATTTAACTTTTTAGCAAAGGAATATGCAGAGACCTTTTAAAGAGTAATGTTCGAAAAATAATTTATTTTATTAAATTCAGAAATATAGTTAAGTTGAAAAAATTCATTATATATAGTAAAAAATAGTCCGAAATATTTTAAGTGACTTTGACCCACCAAATCCTCATTGTACATACCAAAAAGACCCGACAATGGTATTTATTTTGTCCTATAAATTGGGTATTAAGGTCTTACTTTGACTACTGAATCATTATAGTATCAGTAGCAGCAAAATGTGTCCTATGCAACAAGAACCCCGATGTATGTTAAATCTCGTAATCTTCTCGGATAGCCAAGCTATACACAATCAAATCTCTGCCACAGCTACAGCTGAATCCTTAACAGTTTAAGAGGTCCAAAGTTTTCTTAACGAGCGCACTAAGCGTATAAGTGCTTAGCTCACACGGGTACCTGTAATCAGGGACAACTTGTGCAGCTGCAAAGCAGATTACTTGCTAATTCATTTCTGGGATATTGACATCTTACTTGCAACACATCCAAGCTAGCAATTTAAAACATATATATAAGTAAAGAGCAGATGAAAATTCCTGTCAGATCTTAAGATTGACCTAGTCCAAACTGAACAAGAAACGTACCTGTCAGTCACTTACCTTCTCAGCACTACAGTATCAGTGATTACATATCACTTATTATTAGAAAGAAATGCTATGTTACTAAGACTATCCTATGCAGATAATTGTCGGAGTTATGACTCTGCAGCGGAGGAGGACACTGTACTCTACCTTATGTTTCACTGGCTGTAATTTTCTAAAAGAAAATACAAAATTTTCGGCGCACCTTTTCTTACCGACCTGACAGAGCTAACATTCTTCAAAATTAGGAACTTGACCAAGTTTATAGACTTGTCAGGTTGGTTTACTGTCGATAAGAGAACCATGCTTTTAGCATTGTCTATATGTTAAACAGTAAAGTTCTTCTGAAGGTGCTACGTATGAACAACGCTAATCCATGTTATCATAACGGGCCATTATTTAAATTCAAGTTGATTTTGATGCTTATTCCGACCTGGAATGAGAATAAATCTTATCTCTACTTATCTCATTTACTTTAGACACTAAAGAATTTTTTGTTGTAATCTGTGACTTCAATTGTTTTTAAAATGATCTATTCCATTTGAATTGCTGCTGGAATATGGCAACGTAATTTTTTTAATGTGTAATATCTTTGCAAACACTTCTGGAAGGATTCAGAAACTTTTTTACATACAACCTATTCCAACAAAACCTATTACGTACAACAAAATATTAAAATTAGCTATCTATTCCGTTTTGCTTAGGATAGATAAGCTTAATTTTATATATAATTCTTTTGCTTATAAATATAAGTTTAGTAATTCATCTTCTAAATAACGCAACAAACCTAATCTACTAAACAATAATTTTAACATTATTATAATCATAAAGATATTTTTATAAAATTTAAAATTGTATCAGTAAATTAAATAAAAAGTATGTTTTAATTATAAATATTTTTTATTAAATATAAATTAAATCTCCCTTTTCAATAGTAAAATGTATAACTTAACAAATAATTTAACTTAAATCTAAATACATTTATTATGATTTTATTAACTAATAAATATTTTGAACAGAGTATTTTTTGAATAAACTAATTTGAACTATTGTATTTTGTTTTAGCAATTTATTTATAAATAAATTCAAATAAATACTTTAAATAATAAATCAAGAAGAAATTAAATATAGTAAATACTTTGAAACAGAAATATTAAGAAAATATTAATGCAAGTAAATTGTTGAATGTGTAAATAATTTAATTAATAATAGTAATACCGATATTACTTGGTTTTGTAATTGACATTGAATGTCGTTGATCTAAGACGAATTGCTTACAGTTTCTTATTTACAATTGTAATAAAAAAAAATTTATTTCAATTGTTAATTGTTTTTAAATATGATTTTATGAAAAAACATTAAATAACAGAACTAATATGAATTATATATACAACAATGTTATGATATCAGTTACATAATGTTTGACCCTTCTGTTGTTATACAAATATTAAATAACTTATATATTAAATTACACTTACACCTACACTCTTCCTATATATTAATACGATATTTAAATTAGTTACATTTTTTCCTATAACATAAATTTTCTTCAGAATACAGTAAGTTTTTTAGTTACTCTCTTTAATTAAAAAATAGTAACTATAAAATAGTTAAAATAAGAAATATAATTAGCAAATTAAAATTCGTAAAACATCTATTTAATTTCCTTATTCAAGTTATATTTTACAAATATTTGATTGTTACAACGCAAATATTTAGAATTTAGATTTTACTAAGCAATACGATTACGAAGATAAAATTTCAATAATTTTATGCATACAGCAGCATCTTCAGCACTGTTATGTCCATGCTCTGAAAGACAACAAAAAAAAAATACAATTATATATCATTTAGTATATAACATAACCATTGAAGATTACTTACCACTTTCTTGAATTATTAGCTTTAAGAATTCAATACACAGCGTTTTAAGTGCACGTTTCTTTGGTGGTCCCATTCGATGCGGAAATAAAATCGATGTATCTACCACTGAGCTATGTATTATTTTTAATGCCTTTAAATCACTTTCCAAACTGTGACCCACAAGTATCGATTTAGAATGTATCATCGACAGCAATACCGCTTGCACATTGATTAATTTACAAGTGACATTAGATAGCATGCTCTCTGTTATGCCAGAATAACTTAATAAATAATTAAATATAAATATTTTTATTAAATAAACAATTTGTTATTAGATTAAATTAATTAAATTAATTTAGTTCTAATTCGAATTTAGTTTTTGACTTACACTGTATTATAATCAATAATTTTATTATCGGGTTTAACTAGTGAATCATAAGCAATATCACCATTGATATCTACGACGGTTATACGTGTTAATTCAATGCCTTCAGTTGTGTAGCACATCTCACAATCGAGTGCATATATATCATTCTTTTTATATACATAACTAGGATCTTTGTCCATAGTAGTAACATAACCTTTCAATATGTTATTCTGCGTATTATCTGTGACATGATAATTTGCATACGAACAACCAGGTGAGTTCATCGAATTCTGACAGCAACGATACAAACTTTCAGTAAAATCTAAAAGTAAACAAAGTAAAATACATAAAAAATAAGTATATTTTATACAGTAAAAATACTTACTGTTAAACCGACCGATACCCTTCGCATGATAATTGCATTCGTCGACACATTGTTCATCGTACATATTTATATTGAAAAGTTTGCCGCAACGACTACATAAACGTTCATATTGGGAAACATAATTCTTTTTGGCTCTAATCAAATTTATTTTAGCCATGCCCGCGCGTTCACCTGGTCGCGGAAAACCATTTTGTTCCAATTGCTCT